ATCCTGGTGGCGAAGTTTGACTTTGAACCTATGGGCACCTCAGAGACTATCATGGCAAAACTAAATGGAGCCAAGTTCTAAAGGTTATTGGCAGACCCCGATGGAGACTGAATCTAAAGAGAATACAACTTTTGTGACACCAGACTGATGCTATCAGTTCAAGAAGATACTGTTTAGGTTAGTCAACTCAGCAGTAACATTCAACCGCATGATGAGGAAGATGTTGCAAAAAACCACCGACACTGAGCATCATTTGGACAACATTCTGACCCACACAACCAGATGGGAAGACCACCTGAATAAACTCAGAGTTGTTCAGGCAAGTGAGGGCAACAGGTCTGACTATCAGACCATCTAAATGCTATATCAGATATTCTGTGTTGACTTTGTTGGACACAAGGTGAGTGGCTGACAGATAGCCATGGAAGAGAAAAAGCTAATCTGCATACCAGTTTCAACGACCAAGCAGCAAGTCAGATCCTTCTTAGGGTTAGTGGGATACTATAGGAAGTTCTTCCCAAACTATGCTGAAGTCACTGCACCACTGACCAACCAGACCAAGAAAAGCCAACACAACCAGGTGAAGTGTGAACAACCACAGCAGATGGCATTCCAGAAATTGAAGAACAAGTTATGAAGTTTGCCAATCCTTACAATGCCAGACTTCAACAAACCATTCATCATTCAGGCTGATGCATCTGATGTTGCAGTACTTATGCAAGAACATAAAATTTGAGTAGCGAGAAGAACTACTCTGTGATTGAACGAGAGTGTCTGGTCATCATATTTGCCCTCTGGAAATTGCAGAACTACTTTTACTGGAAAGAGTTCATCATCCAGACTATCAGCCCCTTGCATACATCCAGAGGTACAAAATCGACATTGTGAAGATAATAAGGTGGGTATTATATCTCCAGAACTACCAGTTCTGCATTGAGGCCATCAAATGGACTGCAAATGTTGGTGCAGATTGTATGAGTAGACTTTGAGCATGAAATGAGAACAGTCTTTGTGTATATATATATATATAATAAAAATATATTGTAAATTATTTTTTTGGTTATATATATGACCAAATATATATATGACTGTTCAGTTAATGCAAGTGTTATGATTTATATAGTTTATATAGTCGATAGTATGTATATTAGTTTAGTTTATTTAGAGTAGTATTATTTAGTAGGTTATTATTA